CCCTACAAGGATAGCTGACCAGACGTGTGTGTGTGTGTGTGTGTGTGCGCGTGTGTGTGTATAAAAGATAGCTACTTAAAAATCTTGAAGAAAACCATATCCAAAATTATGTATGGAAAACAGACAGACCATAACTTTCTTGTCTTGCCTTCAGTGACATATTTCTGGAAGGTGGTACAGTCAAAGTAAGCAATAAACTTGTATTTTACTGTCTTCCCGAAGACACTTTACAAAATATTTTAAAGAATTTTCATTCTGTCAGCAAGGTCAAGGCCCTCTTAATGTGAAACGCTATGAATCAGTGAAGAGTTTGCTGATGCGGATAAATAACAGCAATGGTCAATTTAGTCTAGCGAGAAAGGAATGTTTAACGGAGACGGAAAAATGTCTGAAAGATATGCAGCTCCTGAACCGCAAATACAATAAAATAACGTTTGGACTCGCTCTTAAAGAGCCCAAATAAGAACTGTATGGCATTTTATTTCTGACCAGTGGCTCCACAAACACAAGAGGAATCTCAGATGTGGAATACAGCGCTGTTGACGTTGGACGAGCACATTGTCCCATTATTAACCATCATCCATCTGGAGGTGGGAAGAGATATACGCTTCAGATCTTCCTACAGCCATCCATCGCTCTGAAAAATAAACACAGAGGCTGACACGTTGTCGCATTGAAGCTTTTGTTTCGTGGGGAGTCTGCCTGGTATCAGTCTGTTGGAGGAAGACAGCAGAAGTGGATGCGAGGTGTTTGGAGCACACAGGACAAAGAGGATGCGCGTCGCATTGCTTGCTGACCAGATTTCATCAAAGTGAGGGACGTGCAGCAGGGCCTTAATGTCACATAAAAGAGATAGGCTTCAAACACACCAATCTGATGCTGGGCCGCAGGCCTCCATGTGGGGTGTGGAAAAGATCGTCAGGTTCAAATGATGAGGAAGGCGTAGTTCTTCATATAGCTCTATGTTTGATAACGTTTTCTGTTGTGTTGCAGTGATGGAAACCGAATGGTAATATTTTACTTTGATTCATGGCATTGTAGGATTACAATATTTATACACTGTGGTATTTAAAGGGTACTTCAAAGAAAAGTGTCCAAAAGCATGGTATGTGAAGCAACTGAAGTGGATTTGTTGATAAAAGGAATACTGATATTAAATAATGATAACTTAAAGCAAATACAATTCGATTAAGAAAAGAAAATGCAAATGAGATCTTAAAAGTCAGTACTTAAAGAAAGAAGTTGTATTTTCTGCATAAGGGTCTCAGTGTAATAACAAATTGTACTTCCCTTTGAAAGATAGATGTGTCAAGTGTGAAGCTTTTTTTGGTTACTTAAGACAAGGCCTCTTGTCCTGTTTCAGTTCTCTAGATAGAAGCCTTCTTTGCACTTCTAAGAATTAGCAAATGTGTAAAACACCATGGCACATTACTTCTCTAAAATAACCACAATAGTACAAGAATGGTACTTGTTGGTAAGGAACACCCAGAGACGGTTATAAAAACAAACCAATTATATATCTAAAAATTACAAGGAAAAACAGATGCAATTTTCTATATTCAGTCCCTGTCTGACTATTTGCCAGTTTAATTTGATCCAGACTGTGTCGTGGAAACAAAACTAATGGATATAAAACCCTATGTTTCTTAATGTAGAAATTGCCCATCTGCTGTACCGAGCGTTCGGTCTGCATGTTTTGGGAAGGAATACGATTCTATTTTAGTCCCAGAATGAGAGATAAGAGTTTTCTGTCTCTCTGCAGAGCAGCTCACAATATAAATGATGTCTGTTCCAGTAATCAACCTCCAAAATTGGGTGAAATTAACACAGACCCACCTGATCAGCAGGGAAAGAGAAAGAAACCACATGAGCCAAGCATGTCAAGAAAGAGAGAGAGTTGCAGAACAAATGAGATTATGCAGAATAATCAATGAGGCACTGATACTGATCCCAGAGCAGACACACTGGCATGAACAGATTGGCACAATTAGACAGGAAATGGCTGTTGACATCATCAGTCGTGTAGAGGGCACAGATGGGCTCTACCCAGGAGACGAGCAGGTGAGAGGGAGGAAAACATTGGAACAGACCCTCATAGCTGAGAGGAAAACATTTTTAAAAGGTCGATGTGTGTTCTTTTGTGGTTTTCAGCAATAAAAGCATGAAAATGGTGTCTAATTGGTTCTCACACTTCTTAGTGTATTGCATAAATACTGTAAATAAATGCGCAGAAAGTTTTGGTCTTAAATTTCAGTCTCACAGGACTGTTTATAGTCAAGACATTCACATACATACTGTATACAGTTTCATAATAAGGGCATATTGCAGTGAAAATATCTGCTAGATCTGTGGGCTCTTTACAAAAGAGTTATGTATTAATGTATTATAAAAATATTATGTGTTAAAATTGTCAGGTGATCTCTATCGTCCCACTCCACTCATTTACGATATTCTGGACCGGTTTTTATGTTCGCTGCTGGTTCAGAGCTATGATAAAGACTATAGTGACTTTGATGATAATGCTTTGGGTTGTTTTGCAATCATTTTTGTTAAATGAGAATGAAAATAAATCGTTTGTAAATGGTTTGTTTGAAAAACCACACTTGATTTAAATAAATTACATTGAGGGGGGTTTCTCACATCTGCCTTCACCTACACTTTAAGAAATGGAGAGCGATGAAGAAGTAAGTATGGTGAAATCTATAATTCAAGGTGATGTCTGAGGGTGATCTCAGAGGTTCGTGGTCATAATTACTTGCTTGCAGTTGCAATGCAGTATCTCTTTCTGCTTATACTGTTGAAGCATTAGATTGCTAGCAGGTGATTATGTATAATTAGGGGGAAGGGACATTCAAGTTATTGGTTGTGTATGCATGTTGTAATCATATCAAGTAGATATTAAATGTTTTCCACATTCAACATTTTTTACAATTCCATTGAATTGTGTTTATAACTAGTAACATGCATATATGCTATAAAATTATTAACTAAACTAAAATGTTTTCACTTTGGTCTTTGGTTTGACTGTTTTCAGTTTACTCAGTAAAAGGGTGTTTTGATATATGATGGTTAATTTTGGTTATGTGTGTGTGTGTGTGTGTGTGTGTGTGTGTGTGTGATATTTCTCTGTTATACACTCCTGATATATATATATATATATATATATATATATATATATAGGAAACCTGGGTCCACTTATTTTCTTCCAAATCAGGCCAATTTAAGAAAAATATGTTTTTATAGAAAGATGCAAAGCACTTGGGTATCATCACTCATGTCTGTGTGTTATAAGTGTATGCATGTGTGAACAAAATGAACATGACACAGATATTTTCAAAATCTTTTGATCTATATAATTGACACAAGGGTTTTTCTCTTTCTTTTTAAAGAACATACAACAACAATGGACAGATAATTTCCTCAGTCTCTTCAAAATTTTCTACTTTCAACCTTAAACAAACTCCCCATTATTGATTTTTTTTTTTAAACAAACAAACGAAAATAAAGTATATACCAGAATGCAATTTCATTTTTTCATCTCAGCACATTTTGACAATATCAGCCACATTCATCAGTAAAGAGCGAGAGGCAGTGCCACTGTTACGCCATTGCATCTCGAGGTGGGACTGTTTAGCTGACCTGGGGTCAGACTACTAACTGCCAATGATTTATCAAACATGCTAAAGACAGTTAAGACTGATTTCAGGTCAGATCACTCTACAGATAGATAGTGAATTGTGCCACGGGTCCATTTTTTCAACCATATCTGATCTAATCGATCAACAAACCATCCATAACACCGCCTGTGGGATATTTCTCTGTTATCGACCCCTGATCATGTGATGTAGTCATGCGGACATGGCCGCGTGCGTCATGCAAAGTGCAGCATTTCTAAACTGGAAGGGAGGGGGTGTTGTTTTACATCTCAAAGACCCGGTCAGATCTGTATCCCACTTTATGGTGACCGAAACTGCAGCACTTTCTCTGCAAAGCCAATGGCAACCTTAATCAGTTACATCACTTCCTGTAACCTCTACAGATGCAAAGTTCATCAAAATAGCCCAAAATTAAGCTCTTTTCAGGTTTGGTCAAAAAAATGCGTCATTCTCTCCTAGGCTTGAAACTCTATGCAAGTACGAGAACACAAATACTTCTAGCTATGCTTGATTTTACATTGCGTTATGAAATTAGCCAAAATCCATCCATTCTCCAAACCATTAAATCCTCTGTAGGGTCACGGCAATGCTGGAAATTAGCTTCAGTGTTTATAATGTAACATAAGTATGAAATGTACACTATTGTGGGTATTAGGCAAGTTTTAGCAAACATTTTACCTACTATCATGGCGTATCAACAGTTTGAAGTGAATTTAGCTTAGCAAGCAATTTAAAGTTAGTCCAAAGGTCAACACATTTATAGCTACATCTACCTGAACAACAACAACAGCATTATATTCAATAATGCAAACTTTTGATGGTAACTGTATCGCCTCCTTGAATGCTAAGTTGTGATACCGTTACATTAACGCAAAAATGCACATTAGTATGCATGCTTACATTATTTCAACCTTCCATCTATTCTCCAAACAACTTTTCCTGTGTAAGGTCATGGGGATGTTGGATATTAGGTGTGTTTCATAATGTAGCACAAGTATGGGAGGCATGCATGGTATTTAGCTTGCAAGCTAGTTCAAGTTAGTCCAATGGTCAACATGTTTATAGCTATAGCTACCTTAACAACAACAACATTCAATTCAATAACGCAAACATTTGATGGTAAATCTGTCGCCCCCTTGAGTACTAAGGTGTGCTATCGCTACATTGACGCAAAAATATTAGTATGCATGCTTACATTATTTGCGTTTACATACTTGCATAGAGTACGATTCTTACCTAAAACTGACAGACTTTCATTGGTACAAGGTTACGCAAACATTTGCTCAATGTTGCGCAACACCGTTTTCACATCAACATTGTGTGCGCACCATAAACAACCCAACTTGTCTGGTGGAATTGCCTGCCAATTATCGCCTAAGCAAGACTGTGACCAATGAGAGAAGGTAGAGGCTGACGCTAGGAAGGTTCTGGCCGCTTCTTCCGTTCACCACCTTCTTGTTCTCTGACGGATAGGCATATACGTTGGGTTTGTCCGTGTTTGGGGCCGTTAAACGTGGATCACGGGAACACTGATCATCGGCACACATTCCACTTCCTGAACCGCTGATATCATCACCTAAAGATGGGAACACAACAAGGAGAATCATGAGCTGAAGTGAGACAGAGTTCAGGAACGTTTCACAGCAATGACTGGAAAGCTACATTCCAGGGATGAAGAGTAACTTAACTTAAAGTAGCTGCACGTCTAAGTTAACTTCCGTTTTTGTAGCCTGACAGTAGATGTTTTTAAATTAGTTTTGAATCTGACTCATTTTAGTTCATTCATCATTTCATTCAGTTCGACGAACAATTCGCAAAATAATTTCAATCATTAATCAGTTAGTGTCCCTTCTTTTTGTAGCAAAATAAGCAGTTATTTATAACTGTGTTTTCAATTCTGTTAAATTAACATTTTTGGGGTTTATTGGTTTAAGATTATCTGTTCAACATTAATGCTGTTACCCTCTTCGCATCTTTCATTTTATTTTGTGCTAGATAATACTGGTAACTGTTAATATTATTAATTATTACATTATTTTGATTATATAAATAAAAAGGCATTGTTTTAATGGTTTAAATATTATTAACTATTAATTTGCAGTGTAGTATTTTTATTTTATTTTATTATTTTTTTGACACCGAGCCAAATCAGCAATGATGATTCACTATTAAACTGTTGATTTATTATTTTCTACAATGAAATCCACAACAACTTTCTTATACACTGCCATTCAAAAGTTTGGGGTCAGTAAGATTATTTAAAAGTTATTCCAATTTTAAATGTGATTTGATCAAAAATACAGTAAAGAACTAATATTTTAAAATATTTTAATTATTTAAAATGTAGTTTATTCCTGTGATGCAAAGCTGAATTTTCAGCATCATTACTCCAGTCTTCAATGTCACATGATCCTTCAGAAATCATTCTAATGTGCTCTGTTTATTGCTGAATAAATGTAATAATTTCTTTTAAAAAAAGACATTTTTTTTAACAGTATAGTGTATGTGTATACTTACTGGTGTCCTGGAAGTCCACATCATTTCCATTGATGGCATACTTCAGTCGGTTGATCATTATCTTAAGCTGCATGATCTGTTTGCGTACAGTCATGTCTGGTTTGGTAATATCAATCTCCACCTCAGGATTATTGATCTGACTGGCCAGCCCGTCTCCCATCACTTCTGGCAGATACCTGACAGAACACAACACAACAAGAAAGATGCATGTGATCTGTTTGAGAGGCAACGTCACAGACAGACCCAAATAAAATAAGTGATATCTGTGTTCCCCCACTTTTGAAAAGCCACTGTACATGAATGTGAGTTGTGTTTCTATTAAAACTGAGGTTGATTGAGCTGTTTATGTGCATTTACCTATCCACACTCATTCCGTTCCAACATCTGTCTGCTTCACTTGGTCCAGACTCGCGATCCACACACAGTTTTCTGGGCAAATGGACCCAGTACTGGATGATATCCCTCAACATTCTGGACACATCGGATAACTGAGAGAAACAAACAGGGTCATAGACAGCAACGAAAAAATATTTATAATTACAAATAATAAAATAAATAACACTTCAGCTGTTGTTTATGCATTTATAAAATGTTCCTACTCAGCATATGTTGACATGAATCATTTCGCATATTATTGAGCCTGTTCAGTTCACAGTAATATTAACCCTATAAAGCCAACTGATTTGCAAATTTCTGATCAAAACTTTGCTGAAAAAACTTTTGTACACAATCTGCTACATGCCTTCTGTCGTCTGACTGATAATTTATACTTTTTAGCAAGTAAAAGGCAATCTCATTCATTTTCATTACAAGCTTTTCAGCCATATAAATATTAACTGCACCAAATTGCATTTTTTTTTCTCCTCAAGTATGAACTTCATTTTTTCCTATATATCATACTAGCCATAAAAGCCTGCTGTATCAAATATATATATACACTGTAAATATACTCATCAAAAATCACAATTCTTTTATTTTTTTTACACTATTATTTCATATGTACAGCATGCTTTACTGGGTTAATAAACACCAGAGTTCAAAGTGCATTTTTTATAATCAACTTTTTTTGTTACTGTTCTGGGTTGCCACTTGATGCCTGATGTAAAGCAGGGTCCTAAAGCAAAAACTACTACTGTACACCATTCAAACACACTCACCACTTTCTCCAGTTGGGCTCCTGGGGTGCCGCTCACTTCTTCTGCTGTGTTTCTACCTCGCTTGATCTGGTCCTCAGTTTTGGAGCTCTGAGTAGGAGAACCACATGCCTGAAACACCTGAAGAACAAGAAGGGTTCTGGTTAATTCTAGCTCAAGATTACATAAGCAGGAGTTTAAGATTAATTTACTGATAAAGGATTTAAGATGATATTAATTCTTGAGAACACTTCATATACTTTTAAATTAATGATATATTAAATATTAAAGGGATAGTTCACCCAAAAATTAAAATTCTGTCATTAATTACTCACCCTCATTTCGTTCCAAACCCGTAAGACTGCTTTCGTCTTCGGAAAACAAATTAAGATATTTTTGAAGAAATCCAAGAGCTTTCTGACCCTACATAGACAGCAATGTAACTGACACGTTTAAGGCCCAGAAAGGTAGTTAGGACATGTGACATCAGTGGGTCAACCGTAATTTTATAAAGCAACGAGAAAACTTTTTGTGTGCAAAGAAAATAAAAATAACGACTTTATTCAACACTTTTGAATACATTTCTTATCGGCAGGGTTAGAAAACTCTTGGATTTCATCAAAAACATCTTAATTTGAGTTTCGAAGATGAACGAAGGTCTTGTGGTTTTGGAACAACATTGGGTGAAATATCCCTTTAAGTCTTTTCAGACAGGTTTAAAGTGCAACACTGACCTTATTGTTGAACGTTTTGAGGTTGTCTTGCATGTAGAGAATAGCTTCAGCAATGCGTTTTGGCAGAGACAGAACCACCGAATCCACACTGTAAGGCCGGCTCAGTTTGTCAACTATCTCCAGCATAGCATCTACACACAAACACAAAGTCTTTATATCATGTTGACTTTCATCTAATGTGTGACAAGCTGTAATAACTGTTTAGTTCTAGCAGTTTAATTTAGCATTTTTTCCATTCATTTTTCCCATGGAGATTTTTTAAAGGTCTTGGTTAAAGCATTTTAAGTCATGAACCAAACCAACCAGATATGAGATGAATCGCAACATTATACATTTGATTTGAAGCAAAGAAGTATTTGAAAATCAGGCAAAGGTACAAGACTGTATACTTAACAGATTTAATGAGGGAAAGAACTACAGTCCCATGAATTGCTGAATAAAATACAAAATTACTCATTTAAATTTGTCGATTTACATATTAAGTGTGTTGCTTCAACTAATGCATATTTAACAACCTCATAGCTCACAACAGGTCTGTTTTTAAAGGTTTATATGTTATCAAATGCTAAAAATCTATTTCTAATTGTAGAAAAAGAATGGCATTTTTACTTCTGGAACCCAACTATAAAGGGTCCATTTTGGCCCTGTCTACCTGCCAAGTTCCTCCACTCCGAGTCCAGATCTGCTTGATTGGCGAGGCAGCCCTTCACGACATTCTTACAGTAGTTTGAGCAGGGCTTGGCAAAATCCACGCCGCTACAGTGAGGACAGTATGTCATCTTCATGACGGCGTGCACACATTCAGTGCTCAGAGACACCTGCAAGACAGAAACAAAGAATTTAGAGAACAGCTGAAGCATATTTGTGCCGACTCATGTAACCAAAGAAAATGCCCTGTGAATTGTTTTGTGTCACACGTAATAAAAATGTGATAATTATATCCTGCAAATAAGTCTTTGTCAGCTCCTACAGTTTCTTATGAGGTCTAAGGACGTGGGATGGTACATTGTGGTACGATTATTGCATAATACCCATGATCCTTCTCTACACCGAATAACCCCCATGAGGTCGGAGATGTCTTTCACAATATTCCCTTTTTATCAGAAGCCTCCACCGCTCTGATATCAAAACATGGGATTCATTTAGGGCCCCTTAGAGAAATGTAATGCAATAACAGGAAAGGATATAAAAAATTGACATTTGCTTGTATGTTTAAATTAATCAAATTTCACAGATATTGGAAGCAAAACCAATTTTTGTTTAGGTGTAAATAAAAATGCAGTCAGCATGACATTTGATTTCTGTAAATGTATCTGATTTCTTTCTGTCCTAACTGCATTAGGCTGCATGAAACATTCAGTCACAGCTGCAACAAGCAACTTTGACACAGTTTCACAAAGATGAATGTCAGCAGAACTGTATATTTCAATGACTTGTGTGAAGTAACCAGTTCTTAACATTCTTCAATCCAAACTTTTAATGCAATCAGATGATGAAACATTTGCAATCACATGCATTCCTTTGTTATCGAGTGGGAGTCGTTCAGAAGGTGAAGGAATCTTTCTCGACTTTTAGTGGTGGGTCCTTTTGGCACATAAAGGAGCGGTGAGAATAAATTTGCATTTCATTGTAAATTGTACTTTTAAATTTAAATCGAATCAGACAAGTAACCCCAGATGACATCAGTGCAGTTAATGCTGAGCTGCAGTTCTGTCATGTGCATTCAGTTAGATATAAGAAGACTCCACAGTCCATTATTAAACCTGGACGAAAACTAAAAAAGTCTGATTTCTGGACGAGGATGAATTAGCATACATTGGTACATTTTTCCTCATGATACTGTGGGAAAGCTGTAAAACTGATGCCTCCAGAAAAAATGTAAGAACAAAGATCTAATTTCCAATGTAGGACATGATTGTTTAAAAAAAATGTTTGCGCAGATAACATTTAGAGGTTAAGTTAATTTCTTATTACAATAACAATAGTCTGCAGGCTACATCATTATGTCAGTAGGAGGTGACAAATGACTGTCTTAAGGTCACTGAATCACTCAACCGATTCGTTCCAACCCTCAAAAAAGAAACAACTCTTTATGAGTAAGTCATTGAATCATTCACTCAAATGATTCATTCAAAGACACAGATTCATTGCGGAACAAAACACCAGACTTTATAAGCTAGTAATTGAATCATTAACTCAAACGATTTGTTCAAACATACTGCTTTATTTAGAAAGAAACCATTGACTGTCTTTATGAGTGAGTTGCTGAATCATTTATTCAAACAATTCGCTCAAGAACACAGATTTATTGCAGAACAAAACACCAGACTGACTTTATAAGCGAGTAAATGAATCATTCACTTAAACAATTTGTTCACAAAATACTGATTCATTCATAAACAAATCACTATCTTTATAAGTGAGTCATTGAATCACTCACTCAAATGATTTGTTCAAACATACTGATTCACTCATAAACAAACCACTGACTATCTTTACAACTGAGTAATTAAATTGTTCACTCAAATGATTTGTTCAGACACACCGATTCATTCAGAAACAAACCACTGACTATATTTATAAGTGAATCATTGAATCATTCACTCAAACGATTTGTTCAAACACTGATTAATTCAGAAACAAACCACTATCTTTATAAGAGAGTAATTAAATCATTCACTAAAATGATTTGTTCAAACACACTGATTCATTCAGAAACAAAACACTGACTATCTTTATAAGTGAATCATTGAATCATTCATTCAAATGATGAGGTCAAACAATGATTCATTCAGAAACAGAAATTCATTGGGATTCATTACCCAGACAAGGTAAAAAAACACGTTAGTTTTCTCAAAAAATATATTTATTTTTACCTAATTTCTAAATTATTCGTAAATGACTCAAAGAATCAGTCTCTCTAAACCCCTCCTTTCCATGAGACCTCACTGATGTGATTGGTCAGATGGCGCAGTCCTTTGTGATTGGTCAAGATGCATAGAGAGCTTGGCTCTCGATTGGTCTACCGCGTACAGCGCATGTCGGAAACGAAACGCCCATTGCCATGACAGAATGACAGCCCTGCAGACTTGTCAATGCATAGAAAAGATGGTATCAATTGTACCTTACCAAGTCGAGCCAGGGTTTGATGATGAAATGGTTGAACTGTAGTGATGGGAAGTTCGGATAATTTTACCGACTCGGACCTTTGAGTCTCATTCAGCAAAATGAACGAATCTTTTTTCGAGTCATTTCGTTCATTTCGTTCATTTTAGCAAAATATAATTAAAATGTTATGTGTTACTCGACTCTGAAAAACCAGAAGACTCGAAATAGGTGAATTATTTGACTAATTAGTGGTTGCCGCTAATCTCGCTTACACTAATACTCTATTCACACACATTACCATTGTTTTACTCACTGTTACTTGCTTTAATGGCGGATGTGTGTCTACCTTTGAGTGCAGGTGAGGACACGTTCGAGCTGCATTCGGTGCAGGTCGAGCTGGAGGCCGTGGAGAAATTTTCCTAATTAAGGCTGTTCAGTTGCTTTGACACAATCTGTATTGTTAAAAGCGCTATATAAATAAAGGTGACTTGACTTGACTTGACTAATTCCAGTACAGAACCTATAGGATGTTGCGCATGCGTGACTGAATGAATCACTCCCGAGACGACTCATTCTTCCTGTAATTCTGTTGAGAGTTTATTGGCGGAATGTAAACGGTAATATTGTGTCAGTTACTGGGCGTTATCTTCTTGTTTATTGAACTGTTATAAAAGCAATATAGAACTCTTTCTTTCTTCTTTCTTGGCTAGCAGATTCATGTCACTCTAGATATTAGTTTGCACATATACTTCACTTTAAAGTGAAAATAAGCTGCATCAAGGGAGAAAGAAATTTTTATCACATGCTGAGACATAAATAACTGGACTGGACTGAGCAAAGCTGAATTTTCAGCATCATTACTCAGAAATCATTCTACTATGCTGACATATGCCACATTACAAAAGTAAAATGGTTTGTGAATGGGGTTTCACCACCTTGTCTGTTTCACAAAATTTTGAGTCCGTAGCAATATCTCTGTAGATGCACAATCAAATCATTTGAAGTTAGAGTGCTGAACTATTTCACAACACTGGGTGACAATTGCAGAGAAGATAACTTGTTCTCTTGAGAGCTCAGACTATGGTTAAAAATATCGCCAGAGCTTATTGCTCTCATTACGCTTTGTGTGAACAATCCATAATTATAATCTGCTTTGGGGAAATTAGTAAAACCCACATGCAGCAGAAGTACAGATTTAGAGAATCTCAAATTAGAAATAAAAAAGAGTAACTTAGTCTGGAGGTTTTTCAGACTGCAGTGATAATTACATTGAAATAAATAAATAAATAACAAATAATATTCTTGCTTTCTAAAAATATCAAAACATCCCGAAAACAAGCTAAACTTAGGTGAACAGCAAAATTGTGTGTAAGATAATAATACTACTTATTTTGTGAGAACCGAATTTAAACAAGGAAATAAATATAAGGAAATGTATAAAAAAATTTAACAAAATAAGTATTTATGATTCTGTACTAAATACAAGACTGTCATAAAAATAAATAAATAAAAAAATGACAGTAAGAACAGTAACATTGTGAACAGTTTTTCTGCTTAATATTTGTTTGAAAGAACAGCATTTATTTGAAATAGAAATCTTTTGTAACATTATAGATCTCTGTACTGTCACTTTTAATGACTTTATTGGTCCCTTGCTAAAATAAATAAATTACGTACTGATCCCAAACTTGTGAATGGTATTCTCTGAAACTATAAGTCTTAAAGGGGTCATATGATGCTATTTCAATTTTTCCTTTCTCTTTGGAGTGTTACAAGCTCTTGGTGCATAAAGAAGATCTGTAAAGTTGCAAAGACTGAAGTCTCAAATCCAAAGAGATATTCTCAATAAAAGTTAAGACTTGGGCACGCCCTCCTAAAACGGCTCGTTTAAACACACCCCCACATGTCTACGTCACTATGTGGGAAGATTTGCATAATGCCGGCCATATGTTCATGCAAAGAAAGAAGGCGTAACATGTATTTTCGCTGTAGTATCGTTGTTGCCGCCGGCGCCATGTTGTGGAGATGCTCTGTGTTTCGTTGTGAAACTGCTTTGTTTGGCCTTCCAAAAGAGGACGATATCCACTTCGTCATGCGTGGAGCTGATCCGTGCTGGTCGCTGAGGAAATACATCAACTTCACGCTGTGGATCTCCGGATCGGCTTTCACCGTGGACGAAGCGGAGTCCAGCTCACGGCCGTCACATGTGGTTGCCGCAAGCCTGCCGGCCGCTCCTTCGTCGAATCTGCCGGCCGTGCTGTTCTCAAGGTCACCGGCCGTTCCTCACTCTAGCCCGCCGTGTGTGATGCTGGATGACGCATTTTATGGAAGACTGTTTCCTGAACCTGCAGAGTACACGGCCGTCACATGTGGTTGCCGCAAGCCTGCCGGCCGCTCCTTCGTCGAATCTGCCGGCCGTGCTGTTCTCAAGGTCACCGGCCGTTCCTCACTCTAGCCCGCCGTGTGTGATGCTGGATGACGCATTTTATGGAAGACTGTTTCCTGAACCTGCAGAGTAACATACAATGCATCTGTGCTCAAAGGCTGTTCTATAAAGTGGGGCAGTTTCAACTTTGCAAGGACAGTCTGGCACTTCTGACTCACGGCCTGTAAGTACATTTTTTATATTTAAAGAATGTGCCACTGATGATTCAAACGCGAGTTTTGAGCAGTGTAGAGTAGCGCTTGTTGTTTGTCGTTTCTCCGATCACAAATGCAGACATGCATTTTATGTTTACGGGGCACGATACGCAACGCAACGCAACGCAACGCGTAAAAACACAGTATAAGTCATTATAATCAGTAATTATGAACAGTTCCTCAAATCAAATGTATCTTGTTTATTGGTATAATTTATCACCATAATGATTTTTAGATGGTTTTTTTTGCGTTGAAATTAGCAATGTTAACACATGCATCACAACTGACATCGTCTGAACCACTCTCTCATTACGTTCTGCATTCAATGGACCCTAAAAGCCAAAACAATTGCATCATGATGCCTTGTTTCCACATTCCCAGCTGTGATGGATCTGTGTTCAAAAGCAGAAGGCCTGGTCCTGTGAGGTCCGCTGCTTTCGTCTGCTCTAGATTGTTAGCTTTTTAGCCAAGGCTCATCTTATCCAACAAAAGCCCTGTGTTTCAGAGGATTCTCATACCATTTATTCAACTACAGCTGCATAATCCCTTCATCAGACACAATATTTGCTCATTATTGCTGTTTGATTACCATATTCAAATGCTATAGTGCTTCACATCAACAAGAGATGGCATTCACAACCCACTTCTACCATGTACTAACATGTTTTTTTTAAACAAGTACCATGGGAGGGACAAGGTTTTCTTGGAAATACAACTATAAAGAACTCTTCTAATACCATGTAATACATTCATTTTAGTACTGTAGTATATTTCAAATTACCATAGTATTGACATCTGATACCATCACTTTGCCATTATACCACCACAGTATTGTACTGTAATGAACTTCAAAGAATACCATGGTATTACCATCAAAAACACATTTACAAGGGATTTTTATGTTAATACCATTGTAATTTTTTTTAAGACTTTCCACTTTTGTTTGATTTATTCCTTCATTAACATATGCTTAAAGTTCTTGCCAATGTCTTCCCATCTGTCATCTGATTTATAAGGCTCTGCTTGTTCTTCTGTCCTTAAATGGCATGTCTGATAAGGGATGCGTGTATGTGGTCGGGTCACGGCGCAGTCTAGATGGGCTCTCTTTACAGACGATCTTCTCTATTGTAATTAGAAAGAAATATGGCTGCGCTCCTCCCAGTGCGTGGAGAAATATGTGCTGCGACTGGCCTACTTCTGAAGTCACAGGGAGCACACGTCGTCCTTAATAAAAATGAAGAAAACGCAGGAACAACTTGAGAGGAAAGAAGGGAAGTGCTTTTTCTCTTTTATTCTTTCATTTCCTTCTTTTATTTCAGGCTAATATTCCCCTAATACTTGTTCTTCTGCTTTCTTTCCTCTAAAACTCTTTCTTCCTGTTTCATCTCCTGAATGACCTCAAGCAAGTTACAAGTTAAGCATTCGGTGGTATAACATTGAGTTTGCCAGAAAATAACATCAGTGTCCGTAGCCTGTTTTATTTGACATGAAGTGTCAATATTCAAGAAGTGAATAAATATTATATGTAAAATTTTAACTAAACAAACATTTGAAATGTTGCATTGACAAAAATATACATTTTAAGGAGAAGCACCAAAATGATCAACTAACTGGAACTAAATAAAAAGAAAAACTGTAACTTAAACTTAAATTAAAACCAAAATAAAAATAAATTAAACCTAATATAAATAAACAAAAACTAATATAAATTACAAAAGCACATAAATTACAAAAAAATTACAATAAATAATAAAAGCTATTTCTTAGCTCAATTAATAAAGGTTTTACTGAATAATTAATGTGCTTCATATTTCTGCTTTTAAAGCCTCTGGAAGGTTGGCCTGGTTTACTTTCATTGAAACGGTGTTACTAAAACCACGATTATTGCTTAAAAAACACAGAGCGACAAGTATAAATTAATTTCTGTGGTAACCGATGTAGAGCTTAACTTGCATTAAAATCGGAGCAATCCATTAAAGGAATTGGTGAACATAATGCATGATTAAATTATGCATGAGCTCATAACAGAATAGAATGAAGGACTGATTATTTAACAGAAAGCAAGTGGAGGAATATATAGGAGCAAAACAGCACTACTAGAGATGAACTTTCTGTTATAAAAGAATGAAACAATGTCAGCCTCATTCCAAAACGTGGCCACATTGCACAAATACTAATTGTACTGATTTAATCAAATCAGAATGAAGGAACAACTTATTAACTTGCATCATTGAAACATTATTTTCCTGTTTAACACTGTTAAGCTGCTTTGACATAAAGCACTATATAAATAAAGGTGACTTGACTTAACGTATATGTGCTGCTGTCTTCGAATGGTGGGCAGGTTTTGGAATTATTCTTTCCCTCTTACATGATGGGGTTAAAAGACATCTCTTGGTCAGACAAAACAGACCGGAACTGGCAAATCAATCATTTCCCCCACCTCAGTTCATACACACACACGCATACATTGCCCTTTTCAATATGCAGTGCTGGCAGTTTCTCTGTGTTGTCAACCTTGACTTACTTTGAAGAGGTCAGACACAGAGTTAGGTTCCCTTCACTACTCATTTAGATTTCAGGAGAGAAGAGAACTGAGAAGGGGAGAAGAAAAGTGGAGGAAAAGAATGAGAAGTAAACAACCAAACCAAAGTGGACAACAACAACAACAACAAAAACAAATCAAAGATCTATTCTTTATCAGTGATAATGTAATATGTATTTATGCCTTTGTGGAACTGTGTGGATCACTCTCAGTTTTCCTTGAATGGAAACGTGCAGCTTGGTTCAGCATGGTTTGGAAGGCTTACCTCAGGTTTGGAACAAAACAATAGTGATTTAATAATGACAGATCAGAATAACGTTCATTTTTGGGTGAAGTATTTCTTTCTAATAGAAGTTGCATGGGACAGAATGAGAAGACCTTTCCAGAATGCAATTTTTGCTCACTCTTATTTAGCAAGATGCTACTTTTTTACTGTAAGAATCTGATATATCGCTGTTGTTTCAAACACTAAATATGTATTCTCTCACATAAGCACTGAGAATTCTGATTCATTTTAATGAATCACCTTATTCAGATCATGATTCAATTATAAAAATTAAAAAAACACTAGAAAATTAAGAAAACATCATCAGTCTGACAACACATGGGCTACAAATGTTCATGAATGAATGTTTGATGTTATACTACTACTACTAAAAATAATAATGTATTCCCTTAAATTATTGTTGTTGTTTTTATTACTTTTTATTATTACATCGAGCATTTAGACAACAACAACTTTTGATAAAAAAATATATTATTCTGCACATTTTATATTTATTTTGAAAACTATTTTTTGTAGTTTTATTAATAAATTGTATTAATAAATCTATTTAAATGCTGTTTAATGGACATCTGAATTGAGATCAAAATTAGAATTGTGTGTGTGTGTGTGTGTGTGTGTGTGTGTGTGTGTGTGTGTGTGAGTGTGCCATACACTAATCTGATACTTAATTACATATTTGAAAAGATCTGAGATAGTTAGCTACGTTTAATTAATCGACAACTATTGTTGAACTATTTTTTTAAATTGCAAGTAGCTTGTCGTTTCAAAGTAGCTCCTCAAAATTGATTAGTAACCTCCAATTCTCACTGAATAAGGTCAGATTGGTTTGATCATCACTACTATTACTGTCTCCTCACAATATAACAGGGCCGTGGTGCTATGTCTGTGGTTTGTTTTAGGTTTCATTTCATTTTTAAGTTTTCGCTGTCAGAAAATATACTTTTACTGGGTAAGGAAACAGGATCTTGTCTCCAAGGATTTCAAACAACTATGAATTGTCTTTACAAGAAACTAAATGTGTGGTTAGTAAGGATAAACCTATAAAGGCAGCAGCTGTGATTTACACTGAGAGCATCTCCGTCTAATGTCAGCATTAATTGGATAGACACAATACTTTTGTTGCAGTGTGTGTTTGTGTGTGGGTGTGTATGTACATTGATTGCCAGAGCCTCAGGGATATTCATTGTGTCTTGTTTTCCTGATGCATTGATCCTACGCTGTTTACCGCAACGCTTCAACATGCACCTGTGTTTGTGTGTCTGTTTGTGTTCTTGGTTCTAGTAGGAGGTATAAGGTTTGTGCATTGCCACAGGTATGTATTATGAATGCAATGAATACCGAGAAGGAAATTATTCAGAAATGTATAACCAGGCGCAAAAAACAACTTTTTCAGTGTCAAGACATTTTTCTGTCTTCCATGAAATGCTGCGTAAAGTGAAGAAATCACAGCAAATCACAACATATTTGATGTTTAAAGGAATAGTTCAGAGCAAAACGCAAATTTTATGACTCTTTATGCAATCTCATACCATTTCAAACTTGTATGCTGTACAAGTAGTGTGCTGTAAAAGTAGAAAGAGTGACCAGAGGTTGTGAAGCCCAAAAAAAGCTTGAAGCTTTTCATGTGCATCGGGATCATAACAAAATATCATGGAAACGTTATGAGAACGTGAGAATATGAATACCTGTGAAACCTTCCTGACCGCTTCGCCGCTGATCACCAGACCCTGCACAAACGTTCTGGCCGCAATAACCGTGCGTGTGATTTTGGTCTTGAGCTCTCTTGGCGTGTCTCCAAACGGCTTCAGCGTTTCTGACTGCTTGGCTACGCACTCCAGATACTCCTCTCCAATAATGTACTGAGGGTTTAAAGTTTTAAAGAGTCTTTCCAGCAGACGGGCCCAGAATTCATTCAGTGCCTCCTCGAGATTGACGTTGGACCCTCGGTAGTAGCGCCGAAGGTCTGAGTACAGATCCTGAAACACCTTTGAGATTTGGGAGAAGAGAGGTCCAAACCCGGTCTGGAAAGAGGTTTGGAGCGATGCTTCAGAACGGTTCAACAGCTCCAAGAAAAAATCTGGTAACACACAGACAAGAACATCATTAGAGCAGTTATTCCAGTTTGGAAAGCTCAAGGGTAACACTCCTAATTTTAAAAACCATTATTCTGAATCAACAAGGCAAGTAGACAGCACAATATGACCAATATTTTATATATAAAACTTAAAATAAAAGAAGTGTACTATATAATAATATATAACCACAGTACACTCTTAAAAATAAAGGTGCTTCACAATGCCATAGAAGAACCTTTTTGTCTAAATGGTTTCATAAAGAACCTTTAACATCTGAAGAACACTTCTGTTTCACAAAAGGTTCTTTGTGGCGAAATAAGGTTCTTCAGATTATAAAAAGGTAAGAAAGAGATGGTTCTTTAAAGAACCTTTGACTGACAATAATAATTAATAGATAAATTTACATTTAGTACAACAAATAACACACATGTACTTATAAATAATGGATAAATAAAATAAATGATGGATAAATAAATTACATAAGCATTCAGTATTGTCTATTTTTGAATGAAATATTTTGCAGATGTCAGGCACATCATCTCATTTGATTATTTCCTTTTTTTATTGTGAACTTGATGAATGCACCCAAAATATAAGATTACTCAAAAGTCACAAGTCTGACATCAGTGCAAAAACAGCTTCATATTATGCAACATTTTTAAAAATTAAAAGACAAACTATGGAGTCCTGATTCTGCCACAGTAAAAAAAAATAATAATTTCATAATTTAAACTTTTTAGCTCACTTAAAAAAAAAAGTGACTAATTGTGACTAAAAAATTGTCGTAATTGTGACTTTTTAATGTATCTCACAATTTTGACTTTTTTTCTCTCAACTGGGAGTTTGTATTGCAATTCTTTTTTTTTCTCAGAATTCCAATAATAAAGTCTGAATTGTGAGACAAATTATTTATTTTATTTTTTATCCCATGGCAAAAACAAGCTTCCTTACCAAACAACTCAAAGTAGTAATTCTTTATTAATTGTTATAATAATTCTGATTTGGACGAGGCACTATATCTATGAAATAGAAGGGAAATGAACCAAAATAAATTTTTTCAAGCTATTTATCCCCACATAAAATCACAAGACAAACTGAAACAAATCTATAGATAAAATTGCATCCTAGACAATAATCAGTCGTGTAGTTTGTGCACTAACACAATGAAAAGCAATGAGAGAAATATGAATGAGTTTTCACACACACACAAATGCAGTGGGATTTCAGTGAGAAAGTTGATCAGTATGAATTGTGTTATGTAATACAGTTATATCATCAGCTCACAATAACCCAGTCACACATCAATCAATCCCACATTACCCACGAGAGAGTGTCAGAAAGATAGTGTATATAAGAGTGTATAAATTCAGCCATGGGTCTGTACATTTATAACACGCACACACCAGAAGCACAACAAATCATAACAGTGAACCCAAACCAGGTCAAAATTAATCTTTCTAAAACCTACACCACTTCTCCAAACCCAGAGACATTGCACCAATGGGATTATATCTGTACTAATACATTCATGATGAAACACAGAGCAGTGTGCCCTAAATAAGACCTACATCTGATTATGTTCACATTAATCATGCTTTTGAAATGGCCAAACAAATGAATCATAAAACATAATGCACACAGGCTAGATAAAGCATTTCAAAACATCTATATTAAACAGATCACTTGGTTTTTGCAGCTGCACTTTTTTGATGAAATGATTGTAAGTGGACTCTAGTCTAAATCTCATCACATTCACGTCTCCCTGCACTGTGAGAACCCCACATCCATTTTCTCTCTTCACGCTTCGATGGACACTTTTCTCACTTTTCATTTTAATAAAAGCCTCCAAGTGTGTTACCACTGATGCAGGTGAATCTGTCCAAACGCAGGTCTGCAAATGCCTGATTCGCAACACGACAGCCTGCAGGGCACAAATCTTACAGCCCTTGTGTATTTGTTCTTTCTGCATTATAAAAGGCATAACAATAGTTTCTCAAACTAATTTTTGAAAGAAAAAAAATTAACTGTAAACACAGCTAAAGTTCAATGTTTCATTGTTCCTCCCACATTAATATGTATTCAGTTAAATTAAAATTAAAATGTACAAGCACATGACTCATATCAATATTGATTATTTTAATGGCTTATTATTTTAATGGGTGCCAGATTTTTTTTAAAGGTTTAAAGGGAGGCGTGATCAAAAATGTTTGAGAACCGCTGCATAAAATGTATCAAAAGTGACAGTAAAGACATTTATAATGTTTTTATAAAAGATATATATATAAAATAAATGCTGTTCTTTTTAATTGTATATTCTGGAATCCTGGAATGAAGTATCATGATTTCAACAAAACAAAACAAAACAGCAAAAACGGCTTTCAAAATTGTAATACATTACAGGAAAACATTACATTTTAAAATATATTAAAATTGAAAACAGTATAAATATTGTATTGTACAAGATATTGTTAATATTGTATTGTACAGTATAAAATATTGTAAAAACAATATATATACAGGTGCATCTCAATAAATTAGAATGTCGTGGAAAAGTTCATTTATTTCAGTAATTCAACTCAAATTGTGAAACTCGTGTATTAAATAAATTCAATGCACACAGACTGAAGTAGTTGAAGTCTTTGGTTATTTTAATTGTGATGATTTTGGCTCACATTTAACAAAATCCCACCAATTCACTATCTCAACAAATTAGAATATGGTGACATGCCAATCAGCTAATCAACTCAAAACACCTGAAAAGGTTTCCTGAGCCTTCAAAATGGTCTCTCAGTTTGGTTCACTAGGCTACACCATCATGGGGAAGACTGCTGATCTGACAGTTGTCCAGAAGACAATCATTGACCCCCTTCACAAGGAGGGTAAGCCACAAACATTCATTGCCAAAGAAGCTGGCTATTCACAGAGTGCTGTATCCAAGCATGTTAACAGAAAGTTGAATGGAAGGAAAAAGTGTGGAAGAAAAAGATGCACAACCAACCGAGAGAACCGCAGCCTTATGAGGATTGTCAAGCAAAATCGATTCAAGAATTTGAGTGAACTTCACTTATACAAGATATTATGCAGATTGTTGGTTTCTTCATTAGAGTTCCTCCAAAAAAGAAAAGTCATACAGGTTTGGAACAACATGAACGTGCATAAATGATGATAGAATTTCTATTTTAGGGTAAACTAAACCTTTAAGTGTCTGATTATTTTTGGGGGTCAGTGTATGAGGTGAGGAAACATCCAGACTTTGAATAAAGTGCATATCAAAAAAGAAAAAAGAAAGGCCACGATAGATACCCAGTTCTTTATATTCCTGTCACACTCCTCTGACCCTCCACCCACTCACTACACCCTTCTTTGCACTCTCTCTCTCTCGTTCCCCCTCTCCTCCATCTATCTCTCTGACAGGCGCGCGGGCGTAATGATATCAGCGGCATCGTAACAGAACACGCCGGGCTGTTAATTTGCGGCCGAGTCCATGATGGAGAGACAAGCAGCTGGGGACTACAGAGTGACGGAATGAGAGGAGCGAGAGAGAGAGAGAGAGAGAGAGGAAGGGATGAAAGAAGAGAGGGATTTGAATGTGATTACATGTAATTGTATTTGTGCATTCTGACAAAGTGCTGAATGACTGAATTAAAGAAGCACAAGCCCTCCCTCATTTTATTCAATATTTTAAATGAATGCATGCACACACAGACCTTTGAAGCTGTATTAGTGTGAGGACCTTTCAAAGACGTCATATTTTCCTAAACAACTTTTATGATATTTTGCTAGCCGATGACAATTAAAGGCCAGTTCACACCAGGAACATTAACAATAACCACAACTATATTGACTTCCAAACCAATGGACGATAACATTCTGCTTATTATAAGTGGGTGCTCCAGTTTTGTCGCCTGCTGCTTTAAATGCTCAAGCTCTTTAAAGTTGGGTGGATTTTGCTTGGCTGTCAATGATCTTATTGTTCAGCTTTTAGAAAAATTGTTCTGAAATTGATTCTACTGATATTGTTTCTCTGTGTCATTATCGTTATAGTTGTTGTGTGGTTCTCATACGTTGTTTACATATGTGATATTCTCCATAATGGCACCAGGGTGACACAGAGGAGACAAATTGTTGAATAAAGTCGTTATTTTTGTTTTATTTGCGCACAAAAAGTATTCTCGTAGCTTTATAACATTACGGTTGAACCACTGACGTCACATGGATTATTTTAATGATCTCCTTGCTACGTTTCTGAGCCTTGATCGTGTAAGGATTCTTTCCGTCTATGGGAGGGTCAGAGAGCTTATCTTAATTTGTGTTCCAAAGATGAACGAAGGTCTTACAGGTTTGGAACAACATGAGGGTGAGTAATTAATGACAGAATTTTCATTTTTGGGTGAACTATCCCTTTAAGTATGATCCTTGGTGTAAATGGGCCTTAAACGAATAGGTCACACAAAAATGAAAATTCTGTTATTATTTACTCAGCCTCATGTTGTTCCAAACCTGTATGAGTTTCTTTGTTCTGTGGCACACACACACACACACACACAAAGATATTTGAAAGACATATGAATACAAAAAGCTGGTAACTAAACAGTTTCAGTTCCTATTGACTTCCATTGTATTGACAAAATTGCAGTGGATGTCAAAGGGAACTGAAACGGTTTGGTTTGGTCCCATGTAGACATTACACTCATAGACATTATTTAGTTTAAAGCATTTGGACAGTTTATGAGCTTTTTAAACAGAGAGAACAACTTCAAATGTCAATTTGAATTTGTGAAGACATTTTCATGAAATTTGACCTTCACAAATATAACAAACCCATACACAAATTAGTTTTTATCTTCATGGGGACTTTCCATTGACTTCTGTTATGTTTATACTGAGATAATGATATTGTCTATCGCTTATCACCAAATGTAATGCTCACACAGACCTTTTATCATTTTCATAAAATATATATATGCTTATTAATATGTTTATACAGTTTCCTCTTAAATAC